ATGACTATATTATGATACAATAAATGAGATAAATATGGGAGAGATATGATTTAAAAATGAGCCATATATGGCACATAAATGAGTCATTCATGGCTCATTTTTTATCTCATTTTTCACGGCCTGGGTTATTTTTTGATTACGCGTTCGCGATATATAAAAAATATGCCATTTCATCTATTTACACCATTTTCTTCTCCGTCTAATGGAAATGGTTAAAAAAAAACTTGATAAACAATAGGCAATTCTTCTTCAGTTTTGCCCTTTGGTTTGGTTCTATAAACGTATCACAGAAACTGAGGCACCAAAATTGAACACACATTTCTTTTATTTTATTTTAAAACCGACATTTTTTTGTTTGTTTTTGATCACTACACCCACAGCGCATGCTAATAAATTCTGCAGCACGTTTACAAACCCATGCAGACAGAATAAAAGTCTACATTCGAACTTCTAGCATTGGAGACAGCATAGAAGCCCGTCCTCAAAATAATAATTTTGAAGTACAAAAGCCCAGCGGTCTTCTATTTAGGGTTTAGTGTACACTCTACAAATACTCAGCATAAAAGTCACTCTTGAAAAGAAAATATTTTAAAAAAGTAGTGAACATGACATTGATAATAGTTTTTTATTACGTACAATATACAAAGGTTCATGCTAATGAGATAGCAGTTGTTTATTGTTCAGGTGATGATTTAATTTTTTTGTATATTAATACACCTGCCACGACAATTGTTACTATGTTCACTAGAGCTAAAATTGTTATAAATGGACCAATACCTAGTCGATGTGAAGCTGGTATAGATATTGCAATGCCAATAGCTGCAAATAAGATTTGTACAAAATTATTTGCCGAGATTATACTAGCTGCTTGTTGTTGATGTTTAATTGTAAAATATGAAAGTATACCCGGTCGATTAGCTTGACCTAAACCAAATAGGCACTGTCCACAGATGATAATCAGAATATTATAACCATATTCTAGTGACCATCCGTAGAGAATTAAACCCGTTGGTACCAGTAGTAGTGACAGAATTAAACCTGGTATCATACGTCGTTCAGCAACATTATTAAAATATTTACAGGATGCTGCTCGATCAGCTAGTTTCCCGCCAATGAAACTACCAGTAAATAAAGCTATGCCAATTGGAATATATAAAAAGCCAATCATCATTTCATTGTAATCGTATGGTGTACGAGCTAAATACGATGAATGTAGGGTTTGACAACCAAATGCAGCTGTAAAGCTCATAGTTGCAACAAGTATATACGGTAAAATCGTTAGATCACATAAGTAGATCAATGGTAACCAAGGTTTAGCTAATTTCGGCCTATTTTCAATATTTTCATTTTTTTCAACTACCGTTATTTCTTTTCTATATAAGTGTAGAACTTTGAATTCGAGCGTTTCTGGTACAAATATGAAATAAATAATTGTAATA